GTCTCAAACTAATCCAAAAATTCACTATCTAAATACTCACAGCAGCCCACGCAACCGTCCAATAATTTTTTATTTAAAGGGAAAAAGACTAATCTATACAAAAGGTCTCTTTTGAAGCAGATCATGATGTGTATTATTACTACTAATGGTTATTAAAATCCAACTTTTTAGAGTAAGAATTAGTTAAACAAAGTGATCAGCCTTTTGTAAGCCGAAAGAAAGAAAGAAAGAAAGAAAGATAAAGCATGTGATGTGTTTGTTGGGCACTTTTCGTCTCTACGAGTGGACGAACAGTTTTTGAAGATTAGACTTGGAACTTGAAGGACAAGTGTCAGTCTATAAATGCATGGTTCTGATTGACTACTGCATAGGCATGTAGATTTTTATTGGAGGGTTGTATGTATATGACCCACACGTGGCATCAACCTACTTTTTTGGCGTTTTTAATTGACCCACTAAAATGTTACATAGACTTGCCGGATGGCACAGTACCACATTAACTTTTTTTGGTAAAATGTCAAAGACAATGCCACGTGTTACCCAAAATGAAATTTTCAATGTTTGACGATAGGGGGTTGAATTAAAATACCCTTTTGGTGCGCTGTGCATCCACGCGGTGCCTAGTACCAAAAATTTCTAGTATCATTTTCCTACATTTGATGAACCTAATTATTATAAGTAAATTTTATTAGAGGTCTACTTTGGACTTAGCTATTCACTTTATTTGTTATTTTTTTTTTAACAAGATGGTATGGCATTTTGGCGAGATGTTTCTTGCTGACGCAGAAATATCATTTAAATTCATCATTTCAATTCATCAAAAAATACTTGTTAATACATTAATAGGAAAACTTAAATAGTAGCATGGAACAACCCCCTAGCTTACATAACCAAATACACAAACTCAAGTAAAGAAAATGAAAAGATGTAAGACTTCTTGACTCATATTAATTTGAAATGATTCATAATATATCAGAAGTTTTAGCCCAAACTCATATTACCAAATTGATGATAGTGTGTATTTTGATATTATAGCGAAGGAACAAAAGCAAATTTCTGGTACCAAACATGGTTCCGATTTCTACTCCAAACACTCCTACTTCTTTGGCTCACAACTAATTAGACTTAGTTAAAGACTTAAGGCCCGTTTGACATGTGTTAAGAAATTATTTTTCTGATATTGGTATTCAATTTTGAGCCCATATCATGTTTGGGACGGTTGATGTTAATTTGAAATAGTTCATAACATATCAGAATTTTTGCCCCAAACTCATATCACCAAATTGGTGATAATGTGTATTTTGATATTTTAGCGGAGGGACTAAAACAAATTTTTGAATTTCTCAAAGCAAATTTTTGTTACCGGTTCTAATTTCTACCCAAAACACTCCCAATGTGTAGATACATGCATATGTGTATATATGTGAAATGACTACAACGCCCCTTAATGCAAATGGCCAAACTAGGAGAAGTTCCCGAGCTTGGAAATGGTCCCGACTGAAAATTTCTAAAATCAATCCTATTGCCACCAAATGACTTAAAATAAATAAAAATACATTTCTAGAACTCTCGACTCAATAAAATGACTTATACGGCCCGCGTGGTACGTAAAATGATGCACGAAAAATAATTAAAAATAAAATTTCAAAAAAATCCATAAAATTATGGGAGATTACACTTTTTATCATATTGTTCTCTATAAATTTGGTCTTTCCCCTTTGCAAGTAAATCCTAATTTCTTCATAATCATTTCCACATTTTTGCTTTTGAATTGAACGAGGGGTTTAGATCTTAACCTTACTAATTTGTTGATTTGCTACAAAATTACCAAGCTTCGGAAGAGTTCTGGTTGATTCAACCTCCACCGTTTTTCTGGAAGATCCATTTGCAAAGATAATCCCAATTTTGAGAAGCACTGGAAGGATCAACTGGTTGTTGTTGATGAGGGTTGGAAAGTTCCCCTTTTTGACAAATACCCAATCCCTCACTCGTTCGGCACTCTAAACTCTTACAAACAACTTCAGGGAGCCAAGTGTGTATGCGCCGATTGTGAGGTGTATTTTTTCAAATTTTGTGAACAAATTCCTGGTGTAAATCACGATTGCTTGGACTTCAATGACGTTAAGCAAAGATTGGACTTTTTGCGTCATCCCATCTGGCGTGAAGTTCCTTCTTCTCCATCCTTACTTACATTTGAGAACTTGGAAGATGTTGCTTCTCACACCCCAACTGCTATGAAAATGCATTACCCTCGATTTTTTGATAGGAAGGCTACTAAGGAGGAAAGAGCAATTAAAACATATGGCCCTTCTAAAAAAAATTAAAAAAAGAATAAGAAAAGGTGGGAGACAGGAGTTTTGCCCCCTCCACCAAGCAAGCGAGTTCATCCTGCTCCTTCCAAGCACCAGAAGACTGCCCCTCAGTGGCAAAGGATCCTAAAGGTTGGTCTCCACCTGAAAGAAGAAATCATAGTAGATTTGGGAAAGTCTCAAGAAGGATATTGAGCCGAAGATTAAGAGTTTCAAAACTCGCTAAATTGGTGCGTTATAATTTGCAATTTCTCTCTCCGTATCTCTTTTATTTTGTGCTTACATTGCTTATCTTGATAATATATTCATGTTGCATAAAATCTTGAGATATTTGCTAAAGATTTGCCTTAATATCTTTTAATCCGAAAAATTAAACTTGTGTTGATAGGCTCTATTTACACCCCCAAATCATTTATAAACACACATAAATAACATTAGTCAAAAAGGAGCCTTAACTCAACTCTAAAGCCAATCAATACAAGAATTCACCATATATGTAAACTATATAATAAGATATTCATTAATTAAATATGTCGAATACATTTAGTTATTAACGTGAAAGGCATACCCAATCCCAATGTGGAGTTCATAAAGTCCCATCAATTGGTAAAATCAAGGAGTTCCGAAGAATCCATATCCACTCCAAAGGTGGAGTTTCATCATCGACATTTCAAATATTTCATTTCATTGGATTGTAAGTCCAAATTGGACTTAAAGTAGGGTTTTAGTTCCCTAATTTTGATTCCGGCTAACATTAGAAGGTCATAATCCCTCCTCAAAACCAATCAAGTGGTTCAAAACTTTACTTTGAGTTATAGACCATGCAATTTTACCATATGATTTTAAATTGGCCTACCTGATTGAGCCAATTTTAGGAAATTCTTCATTGAAACCCAAATAAGAAGAAAAAAAGATCCCTCTTTCAAAGAAGTAGATATCAACCCCTTAATGTCAAAAGTTGAAACAAGTAGATATGAACAAAGGAGGGCTTCTAATTAATTTTGTTAAAATTTTAAAATCACAAGTTTTTAAAGGTTTTCATTTGAGTTTTTTTTTTTGGTTGGAATTTCAACTTTAAGTCTCATTGAAACCACGGAAATTATTTCAAAGCTTTCAACTTTTAAGAAAAACTGTCAAAATTGTGATTTTTGATTTTTTTATTTATAAATAACTGTTTTAATAATATTTTACACTTTTTTTTTTTTTTTTAATTTAAAACATTTTGAAAAATCATATTTTCGTTATTCCAAAAAGGTCCTTCAATCATGGGTTTAATCCAAGTTTTGCCCCCATTGTTAGTGTTTTGTACGTAATATTTAAGGTTCTTTATGATTTTTTAGATTATTCCACGTTTTTAACTTCATAATTAATCATTTTAGGTTCATTTATATTTTGTAAAGTCAAAAAAAAAAAAAAAAAAAAATTTGTTCATCACGTGAAGAACTTCAGTAATGTCATATTGGTAATTTCAAATTACCTGCAACTTAATATAAAATATTCTCTTTTTAATGTGTGCAAATAAGTAATTTCATATATATATATATATATATATATATATATTGTTAATAGTGTCAAAAGACAATGTTGTTTGATAACCTTAATTTATTGCTTAATTTTAAATGGAGTAAGCAATAAGTGCGTTTGAATATCATTAAAAATGATAAGTACGATTTAAAATGACACATTAAAATTTTGATATAAAAATTTCAAGAAATTAAAAAAATTATAACTTCAATATTTAAAATTTTTAATTCTTAATTTTTACATAATTGTCTCGATAGCTCATTAGATTACTAGATTAGTGTCTCATCTAACCCTCCAGTGGATTAATGCATCTAAATTAAATTTGGATTAGTATTTTTTTTTTAAAAACATAATTTGGGTTTAGTATCAATTACACCAAACAAAAAGCAAATATTATATTACTTACTCTTTTTTTTGAAAAAAAAATAAAACCTAATCAAACTCTAAAAAGACACCAAATCAAATTCCATTAACAAAAAGCAAATTGTTTTTATAAAATATAATAATATGAAATTAGTACGAAAATTGATATTTTAATATTTTTGACATTTCATGTCAAAATATAAAAATTTTCAAATTCTATAATATAAGGAAATGACAATTTAATAATTTTTTAATTTTCATTACTCCGGATAGTCTCATTGAACATACACATCATACTTTAGGAGAAATCAAAACAATAAAAGTGAGGTAAGATTTGCCTACTCTCCCTATTCATTGTTAGTCCAGTGACAAATATATAAATAATTAATAATTACAAATTAAAAAAATAATAAATAAAAAATAATAATTTTTTAAAAAATAAATTCGATAAAGGAGGCCATAAAAATCAAACATGTGTAAGTTGCCCAAATATCGTTTAGTCTAGTAAGTAGAGTAGCATCAATGACTTCAACCCTCTTATGGTCTTGACACCAATTAATGACGTACCATCTTCAAAATTTAGAATTTTGGTACGAAAGACTGAAATACCCATTAGAAAATGGATGTACCCTCTAACCCTAACCTAACTACATACGATGGATAGAGTTGGAAATTTGCTGACTAGCTTTTCGTGTAATAAAGAATCTAATAGTAGGGGGAAATCTAAAGGCCACAAAAATATGTGGCTGAGAAATCACTCTCCAGCTGACGTGGCACCCACATCTCTTTAAAACAAATCAAAAACGCAGACCACGACGATGCCAACGAAGATCCACCAACGAGACACCCCCAAACCCCAACTAAACTAAACGACGTCGGCGGCGGCGACAACGACGACGAACGCGAAGACGCACACAGTCTCCGTCGATTCTGGGATCACTTTCTCTTGTTTTCCCGAGAAAATGAAGGAGCCCAAGGACCTTGGGATCAAGCTGTTCGGGATGAAGATCGCGTTGCCTGAGAACGAGAAGATCCCAGTCATTTCCGGCGACAACTCTGTCGCCGGAGATTCTGAAGCTGTTGTTGTTGTTCATGGAGATAATAGTTCTGATCGTGATTGTAGTCCGGTGGTCAGTCCTGTCGAAGACCAGAAAGTGAAGAAAGTAGGAGAAGAACAAAAACAAGCAAAGGTAATACATATACATATATATATATATATATGGATTTAAAGTTCTTATCTGCATATTTGAGAACGACCCTTTTTTCAGAATACCAAAACAATTGATGGGTTGATCTTACCTTTTTCATTCCTCCATTCTCTAGTTCTAGCAATTTGTTGGGTTTTTGGGGTTTCGATTAGTTATATATGTGTGTGTGTAATTTAGTTCTAAAATTGAATACTTTGTGAGTGGTAGTCTTTGCTCAGGCAAATGTATCCCAATTCCCAAACCAGCTTTTGGGTAAATTAGTAGTCTGTATTTGATTAGAGGACCATAAATTTTAAGGCCTGCTAATTAGATTTGTTTTTGAAGGTCAGGAATTTGTTGGGTCTTGGGTGGCTCTACTTAATGCTTGAACTTACAATTTTGGTTGATGAGATTGTGAAAATCCAATCTGTTGAATTATTTATCATGTTTGACCATCTTTTTCTTCATTAGAACTTCCAGAAAGATCTTTTGACCTTGCAATGTTTGATTCTTCCTCCTGATATCCTGAAAATCTTATTAAAGGGCTGTTGAATTTGCTTCAGCTTTATGTCTAGAATTTGACTTTTGTGAATGGTAATTAACTATTATTCTTTTCTTGAAGTTACTTTTTGTGGACAATTTTTGGAACCTCTCAGCCATTGGATCGAGATAAGCTTTTTAATCAATGGCTGAGAGGGAGCCAGAATATTTTCCTTTTGGAAATTTATGGCCTCTCTGATGATACATGATCAACTAAATATTCATTGTTCCAAAAATAACAAAGTTACAATTGTACAATCCTTATCCATTTGGAATTACAGTTTTGTTGACTCACTTTATAAATCTTCATTTCTTTTTCTCACACACACATACATATATCTATTTCTCCTTTTCACTTGTTTAGATTTAAATTTTGGGGCTTTGTTATTGATGATGCTATTTATTGGATCCTGGATAAAATCTGTGAGATGTCTGATTTCTTCCATATGTCTTCTACTGATCTTTTAATTTGATGTTCTTCCCATTCAAATGTTATTGTTAATTAAGACGATAATTTTTAATTGTAATTGGGTAGTTGGATTCTGTCTAGTTTTCGAGATGTTTCAAGAGGGGTCATCTAAAACTAATAAAGATTGAATTTTCCCTGTAAGCCATTTCTCCTTCTTGGTTTCTGTTTTTTTTATTACCTCTATAGCTGACTCGTAATTTAGTCTATAAAACTTGTATTTGTTACTTACAGAAAATTATTCTTAAATTTCAGGATCCTCTAATTGGAAAACCTACTGAGACTAAACGGCAAGACATTTCGCCACCTCTGGTTACAGAAGATTTGACGAATTTAGAAACATTGCCAGAGTCTGAAGAGAACCTCGGGACACCTTCCGTTGATGAAGAAACTGCGACATTGAATCCTCCCAAGACAGAAAATGATCAGAGTGATACAAATAGCTCAGAACAGAAAACCCTAAAGAAACCGGACAAAATTATTCCATGTCCCCGTTGTAGTAGCATGGACACGAAGTTCTGTTATTACAACAATTATAATGTTAATCAGCCCCGTCATTTCTGCAAGAGCTGTCAGAGATACTGGACTGCCGGAGGTACCATGAGGAATGTGCCAGTGGGAGCTGGTCGTCGCAAGAACAAAAATGCCGCCTCAAATTGTCGTCACATCACCATTTCTGAAGCTCTCCAAGTAGCTCGATTGGATGCTCCAAATGGGATCCATTACCCTGCACTCAAACCCAATGGCAAAGTCCTCTCTTTTGGCTCAGATGCACTGCTTTGTGACTCCATGAGTTCTGCCTTAAATCTTGTGGAGAAAAAGGCACCAAATGGTATCCAAAATGGGGTTTATAAACTTGAAAAAGGAATTGCAGTTGCTTGCACTGGTGGAGAAAATGGCGATGATTGCTCTAGTGGGTCCTCTGTCACAACTTCAAATTCACTTGACGAATGCTCTAGAAATGGGCTTCAAGAGCCAATGATTCGAAATATGAATGGCTTCCCTTCTCCAATTCCATGCCTGTCCGGGGTTCCATGGCCTTATCCTTGGAATTCTGCAGTTCCCGTCCCAGCCATTTGCCCTCCAGGATTTCCTATGCCATTCTATCCTGCAACTTACTGGAATTGTAGTGTTCCAGGTGCTTGGAGTGTACCATGGTTATCTCCTATGATGAGCCAAAAGGTACCACTCTCTGGTTTTAGTGCACCAACTTTAGGAAAGCGTTCCAGGGACGGCGACTTGCTTAAACCGAGCAATATGGAGGGAAATGAACAGGCGGTGGAACAGAAGGATTCTGAAAAATCCATTTTGATTCCGAAAACTTTAAGGATCGACGACCCTGATGAAGCTGCAAGGAGTTCCATATGGGCAACACTGGGGATTAAGAACGACGTCTCCAGCAGGGCAGGCCTTTTTAAGGCCTTCCAACCAAAGGGCAAGGAAAAGAATCACATTGTCGAAACCTCTCCAGCATTACGGGCTAACCCTGCTGCCTTGTCTAGGTCCCTCACCTTCCAAGAGGGTGTCTGAGGTGTAGCATCTGTTAAGATTGTGTCATTAAGGAGTAATTTCGAACCACTTACCGTCATCCCGGATAGGTCACATAGTGTTGAAGGTATGGTTTCTCAGCAGAATATGGGAGTAGTTGTCTCGGAGAAAGCTCTAGCAGAAACTGGTCTCGTCTTTCTTGTAACATTAAGAATAGGTTCCTTTGTTCTATATGGTGAGTTTGTCTGTACATATCTATGTATAAAAGAAATACTGACATTAGAAGCAGAGAAAGAGAGTGGAAGATCTTTAGATGTACCAAAATTAGAATGTAATTGTAAGCTGTGTCTGGAAAGTAGTTCTTTTTTCCATTTCCTTTGTAATTTCAATAAAATTGGAGTTTTTCCTTCAGAGATTAAAATTGCAGAAAAATGTCAACCTGTTTTGACACAAGAAGGAAACAACTCACTAAGACATAGTTCTTGTGGTGATCCCTTGAAGAATGAAGATTGTTCTTGTGGATCATTTAAAATATAAACAAATCCTATTAATTTTGAATAAGTTATATAATTCCTACTTTTTAGAATTTTTTTTTTTTTTTTTTTTCAGTTTAAAATTACAGAAACAGTCAAACTTTCATTTATACCCTTTCTAAACAAGATATAGAATCTAAATAAAAAGAAATGATACTAACATTTAATGCCTTTTTTAGTAGTATTTAATGCCTTTTTGTATGGTGCTTGTGCATTCTACACAAGTTTCTTTGAATTGGATATAAATTAAATTAATTATATATTTAATTCATCAATTAATTAAAACTTAAAGGAAAAAAAAGAGGACTGCATATCAATTTTTGAAAGATCTAGTGGTTTAAATCTTAAATGGAAAAATAAAAATTACAAAATTGGACTTATTTGTCCTATGAAAAAATTGATAGTCTTATTTATTTATTTAAAAAAGAGAGATTTAGTGACACTGTTATTGCTCTCAAAAAAAAAAAAAAAACACATTAAATGATACACAGAATTAGGTGGGGTCTGGTTGGTTTGAATAGGATGGTCCAACGGCAAGAGGAAATATACAAATTCTTTTTGGACTTCTTTTTGGTAGGTATCTTTTAAGGCCCTTTATTTTGCAGACAACTTTTCAAGTTTTTTTCCAACTTTAAAATCTCACAAAAGGACAAAGTAGCTTTCTGTGTCAAAGCCAAATTAACCCAAAAGAGTAGAGACAGTGGAAAGCTGATATAAAGTTCTCTCTCTCTCTCTCTCTCTCTATATATATATATACATATATCTCTCTCATTTATTTTCTAATATATCTGTCACAATATGATATTGCACAAAATGTGAATAAGACCTTAGATTTGGGAAATCCTCAGTTGCCAAACAAAAGAGATATCCTCTTTATTTGATTTTTCCTAACCCCATGCCACCATTTCCTTCATTTTCTTTCCTATTTTCAGAAAGTATTACACGATCTCCGTCAATTACGAAACAACATATAAGTATAATTGGTCCCTCTGTTGCCAAACAAAAAAGATATCCTCTTTATTTGATTTTTCCTAACCTCAGGCCACCATTTTATTTAATTTTCTTCCCTATTTTCAAAAAGTATTACACGATCTCTCCGTTAATTACAAAACAACACATAAGCATAATTGGTCCGGAATCAATTATTCCGAGACGATATAATAATTTCTCAAATTATATAACTATAAAAAATAAAAAATAATTATGCTGAAAAATAGTTTTCAAACACTCCATACAATAATAAAAGATAATGGGGCATATTGCAAATAACCCCTCAACTTTCATCCGTTAGTAAAAACTATTTTATTTTGTTAGGAGTTCCACTTGAATCAGAACAATATGTGTGCCTCCTACTTAATTTCATGTTGCAATCAAAGAAAACATAAAAGATATTTTGTTGTCCATAATTTCTAACCACAGCTAATTTCTAACCACACCACATAATGCCACAAATCTTTTGGGCATTCTCTTTAATTAGCTTTGGCTTTCTTATCTTTTTGTTTTGCCTTTTTTGCTTTATACAGCCAAACATGCCGTATTGTCTTTTCATATGTATACGCATGCCTAATTTTCTGTTTTATCAGTAAATTACAAGTTCAGTAACAGCTCATTTCTAGCCATTCCATATATAATAATAGTAATAATAATAAATCCTTGAAGTGTATGATGCACTCTAGGTGCAGGTTTGAATGGTTAAATACCTCAAAAGCCCTAACAGCCAATTTTATGTGGATCTCCACAGTTGTAAAAGAAAATAGTAGTCTTTAGAGTGGTTGGCATTCCTGGTTGTGCTGAGACCGGTAAAAACAATTTTCTGGGCAGCCAAACAGCATGGTGAGCCTAATTAATATGGCTAAAACCTCCAAACCTGATCAAATTTCTATAATTAGGACAGCAAAATCAACCAAGTTGTGCATGCTGTTAGGGACACAGAATGTGCTAGTAGTATGAGATGTTTAAAAAAAAACCTACATTTTTTTAATTGAGAAAATAAAGACATTTTGTTAGTTTAAAGATTGAAATATCTAAAATGCCCTTAAAATAAAATAAAATAAAATTTTAAAATATTGATGGGTATTTTGAAATTTTTATTAAAAAAAAAATTTGACTCAAAATTAGTGGTCAACAGATATTATGAGATAATTTGCACATGCTAATTTTTGACATTTTTTTTTCTATTTATAGGAGGGGATTTTTTTTTTTTTTTTTTCATTTTTTGTCACTCTACTTTTTTATTTTTTTTTATTTTTTTTTTTAGGGGAAAAATCTGTGAACTGGTCTCAGAGGATGGCATGGATGTTATGGAACCCCATTAAAGTAGTGGTGGGCCCACACAACTCTGTGAGTAACGGTCAAGCTGCTTTCAGTCCCAATAACAATGCTCCTTTTCATTAGCCTAAAGTGCTTTTAGTGAAAGAGGTGATAAAAAGTGATAATAAATGTTTTTCCATTCGAAAAATCTTTTTCCCCCACACAGCCCAAATTACAATTTTCTTTTTCATTATTAGCTTAAACTTTAATGTGTGCTTTTAACTGAGAAATGGGAGGAAAAATAAAAAATTTAAAAAGGGGCTTCGTTTGATTAGATAAACATTTTTAAAAGTTTGGTTAATAGGAAAAAAGAAAAATTTTGAAGAAATATCACTTTTCATAACCACTTGATTTTCTCATAATTTTTTTTTGTATAAAAAAAACACAAGAAAATTTTGATTTCTTTGAGATAATTTTATGAATTTACAATATTGCCCTTTCCTAGCTTTATGATAAGTTTTATGCTATTTAAATCATAAAAATGGTAATATTTTTCTTAATTTCTTTATAACATTTTTATGTTAATCAAACTTAAGTTAAAAACTAGGGTTTGCTTGTTTATAACTTTTAAAACAGTTCCAAAAAATTCAGAGAACAGAAAATTATTTTCAGATAATTATAAAAAATAAGAAGGTATTTGAAAATAGGTCTTTTTGTAACAGAGTTTTTAGAAAATTAAACCAAACAGATTTTTTTGTACAATTTTCTATTTATAGTTTTATGTAAACATAAAACTATTCTCAGACTTACAAACCAGACTTACAAACCAATGCTTGGTTTGTAATTCTAAAACAATTCTCAAGAATTCAAAGAAAATGAAACTATTTTTAGATAACTATAAAAGATAGTTATATGAAAACAGAATTTTTATAATTGTGTTTCTAGAAAACAGTTTTTAGAAAACTGAACCAAATAGAAATTTTTTGTATAATTTTTCGAAAACATTTCTAAAAAACCCAGAAAATAGAATATTGTTCTTAGAAAATAATATTTTATAATTATTTGAAAATAGACATTTTTATAACTGAGTTTTTCAGAAAACTGAATCAAACAGAATTTTTTAAACGATATTTTATTTTCAGTTTTCTGATAATATAAAACTGTTTTCATAGTTACAAACTAAACAGTTCCTTGGACTTACTTGGTTTATAATTCTGAAAATAGTTTTCAAGAATTTAGATAATAGAAAATTGTTATCAGATAATAATATTTTATAATTATTTGAAAACAGATGATATTTTTATAACTGAGTTTTCAAAAATTAATTTTATGAAAACTAAACCAAATAAAAAAATTTGTACTATTTTTTATTTTCAATTTTTTAAAAATAAAAAAATATTTTCATAATTAAACTAAATAGTTAAATTTATATCACTAATTTTTGTATAATCAAACCAACCCTTTGAATAAAAATTAAGACTAGGAGGGTGGTCAAACACTCTCGTTACTTCCATGATAAATTTAGTGGTTGATAACACTTTCTTTCAGCGCATTTCAGCAATATATATGGCCACAAACTAAAGTTAACATTTGCATCACTTGGACTCCAAAGTCAACCTCCCACTTTCAATTAATTTTATTTTAATGTTTTTTTTCATTGTTGAGTGAATTCTTTGATAATTCATAGTGGAGAAACCACAAGGTATATCACGCGAAGGCCCCTCTAAATGGTGCATTCTATGTCCCACCAATTGGAAGTGACACATCACCAGCAAACATGATCTTGATAATTTGAGTTGGGCCGAGTTTGGTTGGAGGGTATCCAAAAGAAAAGAAAAGAAAAGAAAAGAAAGGGAATGGAAGGAAATGAAATTCTGTTTGGTGTGAATTTTTAAAGAAAAAGAAAGGAAATGGGAGGATTCGGAAAGAAATAAACTATACATATAATGTTTTGATTTTGTTATTTTTTAAAAAAGAGAGTAAATGAAAGGAAAATGAAGGAAGTGTTAGTTTTTTTAATGAAATTTTGCTAATACTAAATTTGTCGTTATTTTTATAAAAGACAAAATTTCAAAAAAAAAAACAAAGAATATGGTAGTAAATTCATTTAAATATTTTTCTTTTCCAAATATGATTACTATCATATCATTTCTTTTTTTATTATTAATCAATTAAATACGATAAGTGATTAATTATATCCTCTCATTTTCTTTTTTCTTTTTTTTTTTTCTTTTCTCTCATAACTGATCTTATCATTTCTTTTCTTTTCCATTGCACCAAACATAAACTTATGTTGTAGATGCCTCGATAGCCTAACAGGTTAGTGTATTCGGTGAACTTTAGAGTGACATGTTTTAACTCTCTGCAACTATTAATTTAACTTCTAATCGTTCTTACCTTATATAAATAAATAAAAAACATAGACTTATGTAAACTTTTATGATTTTTTTTTTTTTATATTTAAAATAAGGACTTATTTATTTATAAATTTATTTTGCAGGTCAATTATTATAACACTATTTGGGGCATGTGTTTACGTTACACATAACTAGTGGACCATTATGCTGATTGTAAGGTTTACAAGCCAACATATCTTTAGTGATTTATAGAGGGTCTTTGACCCATTCT